CCACAGTGGCCCAACCTCCTTGTCCATGCTTGGCTGAAGCACGGGCACATGACATATGCTGTCCAGTTGGAACCTGAAGAGAGGTTGGCATCTGGACCAGTTCCCTCACTCCTACAGGTGCGAGCTTCTTCATGTGACACCTGAACTCCTGCAGCCATCTTGTCACCATGTGGAGAGCTAGTCTACAACAAAAGCCCACAACACAAGGAAGACTGAGCAAAGAGAACTACAGCTTGAACCCTGACAATTCTGGGCCCAAGCCATTCTATCTCTGGACTTCTCGGGCGAGATAGCTCCATCTTGTTTAAGCCAGTTAAGTGGACTTTTCTGTTCTCTGTCATCAGGAAATTTTTAGCTGATTCAAGGATACAAAAGTCCCTCCACTTTTCTTTTCCCATAGCCATGAGGATTTTGACTCAAGTACACATGAGTCATTCCTGTTCGGTATAATGAGAAAGTAGGGCCCGAGGCATGGGGAGAGGAGAGGGAGACAGAGACAGCAGCAGAGGGTCCAAGTCCGCAGTGCAGCCTCGGGGGAGAGTGGGAGCCCCAGCGTCCTGTGCGTTTAGGGGTTGGGGAGATAAGACCACGGAAGGGGTCCCTAGGGCCTGAGAAAGGAAAAAACACTTCTTATATCATAAAAAATTTAAAAGTATTCACAAAAAAAGATAAAAATAATTTAAAGGAAAAAAAGCATTGAAAACAAAAATGAAGATAATTTTTAAAAAAAGAAAAAAGCACTGACGATTGGATATAATCGTGTTTGGATGCAGAGTATTGTCAACACAGAAGCAGAAGGAATGACAGTAACAAACGAGAGGGGTTCGTGAAAATTCTGTAGCAAGCAAGAGCCGATGAAAGGAAGTTTACTCCCCGTGATTATTAACGAGGCGTGTAAAATGCCACCGCTTCTTTACATGAGTGCGTTGAATTAGCTTTATTTCAGCAAATAAAAAATGCTTCTAAGAACTGTCATAGGTTCTCTCTTTCGCATACCCACCTAACACAGTTTGCTCGAGAACTGTGAATTTTCCTGCTATGGGGTGATCACAAACAGGACCTGTGTGGCGTGAAGAACCACTGTTATTTCCATTAGTAACATTCACTCCCTGACAAAAATGATTGATCCCCTCTGATGTCCCAGGCACTGTTCTCTAAGATCATTTTGGCATTTTATTGAATGCATTCTGATGAGGTTGTCATTCTCTGCACATGGGCCTGTCCTCTCTATAGGCCTTTAACCTCCTGAAAGGTAGGGACCATGTTGCATTTTTTATTTCTTCTATCTACAGCATAATTCTAGGGGTATTCTAAGTGCTCAGATAAGTCAGTTATATTCAGAGTAAGTCTCGTGCTTAAATGAGAGAAACTCTTTGAGGACATTAACTCTGATACCATTGCTTTGTCCCAGGATGGAAGATAAGTCTTTGCTTTTTTTTTTTTGGCTGCTGGTCGGTATGGGGATCTGAACCCTTGACCTTAGTGTTGTAAACGCCATGCTCTAACCAATTAGGCTTACCGGCCAGCCCCTAGGAGGCAAGTCTTTGAATCAGACCTTTTGCTAAAAGAATGCCCCTTACTGCTTGCTTCCCTACAGTTGCAGAAGCATCCAGAAGGAGTGTGTAGTGTTTTTAGATTAGACACTCAGGTAGCAAGAACCAGTACTGATCCTCCCTGCAGAACCCCTGAATTCTTTCCACACTGTGTGCTGGGGCTGAGCACCAGGCCTTCACATCAGCCCTCCCGGACTGCTGCCTGCCCTGGGTCTGTGTGGGATATTGAATTGGTTCAGAAGACGGCTTCAGAAGGTTAGCTCACAGCTGCAACCTCACCAGCAAGCAGAAGCCAAAGGGGTCAGGGATTTTCTCCTCTGAAGAAAACAATCTTGATTCCTGTAAAATGATTCCTAAAGTGTAAGAACTGAGCAAATCTGTATATAATATACGTCTACCTCTATATTTTAAGATACAGTGAAGCCTACAAAAGTCTGAAAGTAACAAGAGCTTGGGTCAGGGGTCAGGAGAGAGGCACGGCACAGCGGTGTGGGTGTCTTGCTGGTGGCGCCTGTGGTGGCGGGCTACATGTCGTAGAGGCGGAGCTGCTCCTGCACGTCGCCATCGGACATCTCGCCAAAAGTGTCCTTGTGATCCTTCATGAGCTGGAAGATGGCGGCCAGCTGTTCTTTCTGAACTCTGTCGAGAAGAAAGGATACAGAGAAGAAAGATGCTCCTGACCCCAGGGACAGAGAGAGAGAGACACTGCGCAGTCAGCGGACTAAGGACTTTCTCGTTTGTTTCTGCTTTTGTTTTTCAGAAGAATAAAACAAAAATAAAACCCAGTTAAAACACAGGAGCTGGTTTGGTCTAACACACTCAACTTGAGGGTTCTAAACACTGGGATGCTGAGTCTCAAGTTCACCATGGAGGTTCAGGGACCCCAAGTATCATTTAGGTTTTCCATGCCTCAGTTTCCCCTCTGGCCTCATTTTATTGTTGACTGCACATCTCACAGTGAGGTAATGAGGAGGAAGATAGGTTCCATTAAGTGGCTTGAGATCCTGTGAAGAAATAGGTTAGAAACAGCCTTAGTTGAGGGGGATGAGCCAAAAGTGCAGGAAGAAAAGACATCACTGGCTGGGAAACGGGCACACATGGTTGTGGGAACATACAGATGTGTACACCAGGGTGGCTGGCAGAGGGACAAGGGTCGGCTGAAATCCAGCCTGTGGGGTTTTGCTGCCCAGAGAAAGGCGTGCCTTTTCCTAATTTACACAGACACCCTGTGGCCAGTGGTGGCCCTACCCCCCTCTTACTAGGGAATTGGCGTGGATGACGACAGGCCTAATGTTTACTGCACTCGGGAGCAATATTCTGTTATCTTTATGAGGCCCAACCACACCATCTGACCAGTGTAGGACAACTCCTGTAGCACAAACACGGAAGGGTGGGGTGACACTTTGCGGGAAGAGCCAGGGAACAGTATGGTTTTGTGTGTCAGCATGGCTGGGCAATGCACCCTGGATTCTTTCTTCTGCAGCCCCTGCCCTCCACGCCACACCACACCACTGGCTGGGTACCTTCAGAGAATGTGAAGCACACTGCAGGCTCAGACCTCTCAGCCCCTCTCTGCAGCTGGCTCTGCTATAGTCACATTACAGGTCCATCATAACACAGGACTTTGGCACAGCTTCCGGGCCAGCAGCACCCCCAACATTGCCTAGAAGGATGTCTCAACATCTGGTCTTACACTCTTCCTAACATATTCCTTCTGCTATAACCCTCCCCTCCTCAGCCCCGTTATCTTCCATCCAGCAAACAGTAGATTTTCTGTCTAGAGCAGCATCTAGAAGTAAAATACTGAAGTCCCAATGCCCAGCCTCCATTGTCACTCTGGGAAAGTTATGACTAACGTCCATTTTCCTGTCTGGAGAAGCAGGAACTTATGAGATGTACGTTGTATCCTACCATGTCAAGAAAGGGGTACTGTGAACTGAAAGGGTGTGTGTTGAGCTCCTTAGATGGCCTCACAATCCACATGTACATACTGGCATCTCCCTGAGTGAACACAAATTATTTCGTGTGGCTTTTGATGGCTGTGGTTGTTGCATATTTTCAACAAGGTGGACATATGATTTTTTTTTTTTTTTTTAAAGATGACCGGTAAGGGGATCTCAACCCTTGACTTGGTGTTGTCAGCACCACGCTCAGCCAGTGAGCAAACCGGCCATCCCTATATAGGATCCGAACCCGTGGCCTTGGTGTTATCAGCACCGCACTCTACCGAGTGAGCCATGGGCCGGCCTGACATATGATTTTGTATTCAGCTGGAGAGTAACAGGCATCAAAGTGAAAGAGAGCTCAAATTAATGGGTTCAAAAGAGATTATTTTAAAAAACAAAGCAGACTAAAAAAACACACAGTAATCAAGATCATCTACTGAAAGTTTATTGGATGAACAAAGGCTGAATACAGAGATCCAAGCCGTCAGGAGTACCTGAGGCTCGGTGCCTACAAGCCACGTTCAGCAAGTTTCCAGACGTGCCTAGATAACTATGCTTGGAGGGAGTTGCTACGTATTGTAGAAATAAGATCCCAGCCTGGACAGGGACATTGCTATTGCTGTTTGGGGACACAAGAGTACATCTATTCGTCATGTTGCTCTGTGTCGAAGTCATTGCCTGGCTGGCTGTTGCTCTGTTGCCTCTTCTGCCCTAAACCCCGAACCTAAGGCATCAGGCCCAGAGGAGAGGCCAGGGAATGCACGCCCTAGGGCTTGGCGTTGGACATTCCCAGCCTTCCATTAGATGGAAAAAGTTACTATGAACATACTCCTTAAAAAAAAAAAAAAGTTTTAACCAAAAAATCTAAGAACTGCAAATTACTTTGATATAGTACAAATATTGTCAGATATAAAATTCCAAGAAACTGATCTGAGACTGATCTGATTATCTGGTGAAGTTCTAACGAATCTATGAAACCTGCTAGGAAAAGGCATAGTCAAGAAATCTATCTCAAGCTAACACTAATGCTCTGCAAAAGCAAAGGTGGAGACCGGCTGAGCTGGTAAGAATGCCAGTGGAAAAGGCCTCTTAGCAACAAGAGGGCTGGACCCATGTCTCCTCTAGCTGAAAAATAAGGGCAGTGGTCAGGTCAATACCTGGCATGGTTCTTTGCTGCCCAGGAATCAATATGGCGCCTCTCATCCTCCATAATGGAGCCAGCCAGAGAGAAAGAGAGAAGTGGGCCCCGAGGGAAAGGGGGACAGCGGACCGTCCCTGGTGGAGTTAGTGTGCACAGGAGAGCTCTACTGTGACATGCCTCAGTCTCTTGGCTTCAGAGAGGGCCAAAGGAGGAGGGCTGGAAGGAAGTCGAACTCTGATTTTAAAATGTTGAAGCTGCTGAAATCGGTGGTATCTAAGGCATGAAGGATATGTGGAGGGCAAGTCTGAGAGGTAAGAAAAACCCCAAATCCAGGATCTGAACTCAAATTCTTAAAACCCTTCAGCTTAGCTGTTAACAAAGCGACCCACGTAAACAGGGATGAACATCTCTAAAGAGGGCAGAGCCAAGGGCACTGCCAGGATCCTGCTAGCCAGGGAAGAGTCCTGAGAGAGGGTCTCTATCTCAGAAGGTCTATGGAGGCAGGATGCACCCCAGGAGCCTGCGCGGGCTCCTCTCTGAGGGTTTCCATGTTATCTCTCAAGCTTTTAAGATGCCAAAAGGAAAAGCCTGTAGGAGGAGGCTAAGGATAACTTCATTATTCTTCAGTTCTGCAAAGAGAAATAGGGAGAAAAAGATAATTTATTTTACTCATTCCATCTCACAAGTACCGTGGGAAAGAAAGGGGGAAACAGGGATGAGGAAGGAGAACGTTTGGAATTGCAGAAGCTGCGCTGGGTGCTGGTTTCTCAAACACGTGGTCTGCTTCTCATCGCTGCAGCAAGATAGTCTGGGCTGCAAAGCCGGGGGAGCTTGCAGAGCTCCCGCTGGGCCCGTGCAGCCCCAGCCCTCAGCCTCTGGAGACATTTAAGTTACTCGGGCAGTTGGGTTTCTGGGTCTTTCTGATCTCTGGCTGAGTGGTCGCGCTGCTGACATTCCTACCACCTGGATAATTTCTGATTCCCGCTGGCTGGGTTTGGTCCCATCTGGGGATACTGGAATCTTACAATATGTTCTTTCCCAGATGCAGCCAACTGTGTGCCCACCTTTTACGAACCGTGCACGTTTTCAGCCCACGGGAGTGGGGCTTGGAAAATGCAGGGGGTCTGATTTTGTCCCTCTGGTGCCCTCTCCTGGAGGTCAGAGTCAACGTGCATTTCTAGCTGGAGCTAGAGAGTCACACTGGCAGGTCCCTTGGTTTCATGGATACGTCAGGGGGAAGGACTAGGACAACTATCCCATCGCTGTGGCTCCTCTGTCTCTTCCTCCCCTTCTCCGTTAAGCCATATGAAAAACCTTCCCCTAGAGTTGTGTCCATTCCCAGAACAGTCAGGACAGTCCTGTGATCTTCAAACAGAGGGGTGTGGGGCCCTGCAGGGGTCCTGATCTGCCAGAGCCAATGTAGCCTACGTCTTGGCTTCCATTTTCCCTCTGGGACCAGACGGTGGGAAGAACTCATGGAGAGGAGCCAACTGCTGTGCTTTTTCTTTTCTTTTTCCTGCCAAGCTACGAAGCCAGCCAAGCCTCTCCAGCTTCACTAGCTCGGGGTGGGGGTGGGGGCTTGCGGGGGAGGCCTCTTGCTCAAGGGAGCTGTCCCCAGCCTGCAGGCCGACTGTCCCAGGCACACTCTAAAGCTGGAGGTGGCGCCTCCCAGAGAAGCTGCAGTGGGAACCCAGCGGCTCCCCCAGAGCCACTGCCAATAAATCATGTCAACCTACAGCCCAGAGGGAAAACCCAAGGAGATGGGCAGACAGCGCCAAGCAGGGTTTAAGCAGCTGCCACCTCTGCAGTTACAAACCTGCCTACTTTCCACCTTCTTGGCAGAGGGAATTTCATCTGTGAGCAGTTACAGGGATGGGAATGCCCAAGTAGACACAGGGGAGAACTAATTTGAGTCCTGCTGCTTCTAGTCCCACTTCCTAATTGCCACGCCCTGAAACCCTGCAAATTGAGCCTTCTGGGGAATGCTGCAAAAAGCAAGTGTTAAAGATTTAAGCTCTAGATATAGATCCATTGGCTGAGCTAATAAATGTGAAGTTAGGGGCGTGCAGCATTTATCTGTTAACTAGCTTGCAACTTGACTGGGGACCCTGGGTGCCAGGAAAGGAATTAGAAACAGGCACAGAGTTTGGGAGGGAAGAATCTGATAGGCAGAGAAGAGAGCACCCTGCTCGCTGGCCTGTGCTTCTAGGGTTTGACAATAACATGCATGTTATTTTTCACGTGACAATTTCAGGGCAGTTCCCTGGACTCAGCTGGGCAGCCCCCTGGGGGAACTATCATGTTGAAGATGGAGAGACAAAGCCAAACTTACCAGCCTCTGCAACCCCAAGCATCACCACAGGAGGGACAGAAGTGGTGTGGCCCCAAGGGGGCCCCACACAGGGCCACGCCAGGGCCAGCCACATGCAGAAGCGGGAAGGGCCAAGCAGATGTCACAGGCATGCCGGGAGCCATGGGGAGCATGCTGGGTGGGGGTGGTAATGGAAATGAACATGAACTCCAGCTCCACCCCAGGAAGTCCCCAGCCCCTTCTTCTCAACTAAGGCCCACAATGTAACTGCAGCATGCAGATGAGGAGCTGGGCACTCCTGCCTCACCCCCAGAGCAGCCCCTCGGGCACAGTCTCCATCCCACAGGACAGCCAAGTGTGAATAGTGCACCTATTGGGCAAGGCCCTCTTGGGCAACGGAGGATCTGCTCTCTCTGAAAATACCAGAGAAGGGGTTTCCCCTCCCCATTTCCTAGGTCTCAGCCCTGAACATGAGGTGGTGGTGGCAGTCTAGCTCTAGCCTGAGGCCTGGCCTTCAGTCCACCAACTGGTCCTTCCTACCCTATCGATCCTCCACATCCACACCGTATATCAATCTGTGCAGACAGAGTAAGGCCACGGTCCTGTCTCAGCCTCTGTCCACAGGGACGTTCAGGGATGGCAGGTGTGTCAATCCCTCTCTAGCCCCCTGTCTAGGAGCTGCACGCTTCTTCTGTAAGGGGCCAGATCCTACTTCAGCACCTGTGGGCCATGCGGTCCCTGCCACAACTACTCAGCTCAGTCGCTGCAGCACGAAAGCAGCACGAACCACAGGAAAACACATGAGTGTGGCTGTGTCCAGCCTTGCTGGATTTACAATGGCCCCGGGCTGCAGTCTGCCAGCCCTTGTTCTGACGATCAAACCTTCCTGTCCCCCAACTCATAGGCACAGACTGTTCTCAGGGTGTCTGCTATGAACTGTTTAATCAGCTGCCTTGTCTTCACAGGGCAGGACTGAAGCCATGTCAGCGACCTCACGAGGCTGCAGGGGGGCAGCATCTACATCCCACAACCTTCAGGGTCCCCCAGCTTCACATGGGGCAGTGGCACCCCAACCATCTGGCCCATGTGGCCCACCAGGGACTTAACTTAGCCCCCAGGAACTTCTACCCCTGGGAAAGGGGCCTTTTCTGGCAGTGATTCCTTGCACTGGAGAAGAACGGCGCAGCTCAGGTGGCACATACACATATTCATTGGTTATGAAGGTGGTGGAGGAGGGCAGGTTCAGACCACGTCAGTTGTGTCGGGGACACATTAGCAGACAGTATGAAGGAAGCACCACTAGTCTAAGAAAGCAATCTCCTTACCAAAAGGATTTGCAAGAATATTTGTGGCCCAGGACCTAAGGAACTTGCTACAGGGAAGTGAGGTCAGAGGTCAGCTCAATCCTGAAATATAAAGGCAGCAAACCCAGTCACACCAAGAGGCAGTGTCCCCAGTGCCCGCGGAGTCAGAGGACTTCCACTGGCAGGTCCTCCGGCCGGCTGTGCATACAGGGCCGCCCCCCTCTACTCCCAGGGTGAACAGCCTCCTGCTGAGGTTTGAAAGAGCTGATGCCAGCACCAGGAGGGGGACAGGGAGTCTTGTGGGCAGAGCGCTTCTGATGTTGGAGGGATGCTGGCTGGCCTGGGGAGTGGTCACAAAAACGTGGTTGAGTCCTGCATTCCGAAATAACCTTCCTATCTGCTCTGGCCCTACATGGCTAGCTTATGCTCCCGAGCAGGGGGGTGAGCCTCACAAGCCCCTCTGGGTTGCCGGGCTCCAAAAGTGGCACCCTAGCATTTAGATGTCTGCTTTAGAGGACACTCCAGGCCACACTGCAGAGGGCAGCTGGCGTGCATGTGCAGCACAGCTGGGCTCTCCCACTGCCTCCAGGGCTCTTCACCACCCTGGCAGGACGGAGCTGAGAGAAAATGTTGAGAGAGGCCCAATGGGTATGTGGCGGGGGGGGTCCAACTGGTGAGGGAGAAGGGACTGCCCGATCCTAAACACGAGAAGCTGCGCAGCTGCGCTGGCCTCAGAGCTCCATGGAGCAGAACAGATCAGCAACGACACGCAGGCCTACGGGCAGGGGGTGGGGGGACTGCAGAATGGACAAGCTCCCATACCCCTGCATGTCCTGCAGTGATAAACTGCTCCTGTGGCGGGCTCTACGCAAAGCGGACAGCTGGCTCTGCCCCAGGCTTTCCTGGCATCGCATTTCTCCAGGGCCATGGTGGGGGTGGGGAGAATGCAGGAGGTGGGCTCTGGTGCCCTCCCCCTCCCATCGCCAACTGCCTCTTTCTGACAAGACAGGACTGCCTCCAGGGGTGACTGAGCCTGGTGGGATACTGCAAGGACAGGAGAGCACCCCTAAACTGAAAAGGCAGCATGGTGGGTGGGGGCGCAGCTGGCAGGGGGCCTGGATGTGGAGGGCGTGGGCTGAGGGCTCTGCGGAGCCGGCCTACCTCTGCTCCTCCTCCAGCTCTTCTTGGGTCATCAGCTTCTTATACTGGTTTCCCCTCAGCTTGCCGGGGCTGTATTTAAAGGAGAAGCCCTCTCCTGCGGAGAGGAGACCGGGATTTAGAGGCTGGGGCCCTCCTGCAAACTCAGAGTCTCTCTCCCTTTGTTAGTTTTAAAGGAAACACCCAGGCCAGAGAGGCCCCGCAGTCAAAGGCGGGCAGCCGGGCCCCACGTGTGCCCTCAGAGGGGGCCGGACCCCACCTTGTTCCACACCTTCCATTTGATCCCACAGCTCCTTCCATCTCACCCTTGAAATAGGGACACACAGAGGAAAATGAGACAGCCAGAGAGAAACTAGCACCCCCCACCCCGAAAACTGGCTGGATCCCCCAGTGACCCTGCTCTCCCCGGCCAGGTAGAGCGTCCACAGCGCTGTCTGCCCCTCTCTGCCAAATGGCTCTTGCCAAGCTGCTGTCTGCAAGGCCTTCCTCCTTGTCTTGAAGCCCACCATTATTGCTGTGCGAATTAACCAGTGGCCACCAGTCAGACAAGGGAGCGCGCTTATCTCTGGGAAGCACGCTGTGCCGGGTGCGGGGCTCCTGGGACCCCTGGCCCTTCTGCTCCTGGGCTGGAGAGGGCAGGTGTCATGCCAACCAGGCTGGTTCTCTCCATTCTTCCCCCTGCAGTTATTAAAAATCCGAAAAAATGCATCCTGCCCACAATGGGGCGTGCGAGACGCGGGATTTGGCACAGTGGTTTGAAGTGCTCATCACTGAACAGGTGCAGCCACATTTGCCAGCCCCTGAGAGCAGACCCTGTAGCTCCTGCAAACAAGCGGAAGGGCAGATCTCGAGGCCTGATGAGGGTGCGCAGTGGGTAGACAGAGGAAAGCCAGCACCCATTTGTGGAGTGACCGCAGGCACTGGGCTGAAGGGCAGAGCAGAAAAGCTGAGAATCCTGGTGAGAGAATCTCAGTGGTCCCTTAACCCAGCAGGTGTCAGGAAGAGCCCTGGGGACAGAAGTTGGCTGGTTTGTCTCTTCTAACCTCCATCGATGCATAAAGGACTGAGTGGAGGAAACAGATCAGCAAATCATGCAGATGTCTTTTCTTTTTCCGTTACTATTCTAGAAGTGTTTCTCTCTCTGTCCCTCCAATGTCAGGAACCTCAGACACCTCCACATCCTGTCCATCAGCTGGAAAAGCCAGGCCACCTTCACCTCCCCCAGCTGGTGGCTGTCACATGCTATCAGGCTGATGTGGGGTCAAGGGGGGGAAATGCCTCTCAGGTTAGGGTTCTCTCTGGGTGAAAGAAAGAAGGTTCTGGATGTAAATTCAGAACCCAAATATTATGTTGAAGGTGCTGTATTTTCCTCTCATCAAAACCTTGCACAGAAGGAGGAAGCTGGCCGGCTTCCTGCAGGCTCCCTCGCCCCAGCCAACTGCCCGGGGCTAAAACTTTTCCTTAGGAAGCAGTTGCCACATTTGTACAAGGAGTCATTTGCTCTTCGTTCATTCCACAAAGATCTGGTGAGCACCAGTCTAGGTACTGGGGATATAACCATGAATAAAACATCCAGCAAGCAGATGCAAGTAATTAAAAGATGCAGTTTGCAGTTGGCCCTGAGTGCTCTGCACACAGGTCGGCAGAGGTGGCAGGGGCTGCTGTTGGGAAGCTGAAATGGGGCGGCTGGGGAGGGCTTTACAGATGACGCTCAGTCCCTGGAAGCGCAGAGGGAGCAAGCCTGCGTGGCTGGGAGGACAGTCCCAGTAAAGGGCTAGGTTGACCCTGCCTGGCGGGTCTGAAGAAACGATGAGGCAGCGAGCGAGGGGACGGGAGGACACGGGTCATACAGGTGACACGGCTGGGTGAAGGTGGGCCAGGCTGCCAGGGAGGGCTTGGCTCTTCCTCACGGGGAGATGGGAGCCTTGGGGGCTTGGAGCAGAGACAGGTGTAATCCTTCCTCTCTCCTCCCTGGAAACCCCAGCTCGCTTTGGCCGCCCCCCCCTCCAGGCCTGGCTCTGCCCAGCTGAAGTGCAGAGCATTGCAAGACTCTCTTCTGAGCCCTTGGAGTCAGGAGTTTCTCAAGTTCAGGGTCTGATGAGTCTGGGGGTCTTTTCTGAGTAATCCAGGTGTGCTGTTTAGAGCTGCTGCGTTCATCCTGAAGGAGTGAAGGGCCCGGGTCACTGGTAATCACAAAAGCCCTGAATGTCACCCAGGCCCTGCCATAGTGACTGAATCACACGGAGCTGCAGTCGCAGAACAAGCTTGCAACCAGTGCTCGCTTCTGGACTAGAAAGAGGCAACCGACAAAGAAAATCGATTAACCTCAACAGTAGGGTCATGGTATTGCTGCGTTTTAGAAAAATAAAACATAAAAAATGCTATCAGCTTGGTACTAAGTCTAGGTTTCAATTTATGGGGCAAGTATGATTAGTTTTATGGTTTCCGAGCCAAACAGAACAAACGACTTGAGAAGGCTTTAACTTAATTGCGTGCAATGTACCAAGTGATACACAGATGCATCCAATTTTGCTGGACCCTGAGGGGTCAATGTGAGAGCCCCCCAGGGAGGGGGAAGCTTCCTCTTCCAGTCTTGTGTGAATCCACCCAGTCGCTTAGGGAAGACATTTTAGCGACACTAATCAATTAGCCTTGGAGGCTGAGCTGCTCGCTGCAGAGGGGCTGGGAGCCCGCTCATGTTTTCTTCTGACAGCAGGGGCCATGAACCTTTTTCCTCCCTCTGTCTTGTTAGGACGACAGGCGGCGGCTGGGAGGTGGGGTGACGTCCAGGGACAGCAGCTCAAATAAGGAGGGAGGGCTTGGTGACAACACACACGGCTGGGTGTGGGGCTGTGCCCACGGCTGTCCATCTGTGAGGACGACAGCCACATCAGGAAGAGTGATCTGCTGAGACTCTGCCCTTCTCCTCATCCGGGGGCCTCCAGCCTTGGCTTCAGTTTCCCATCCATGTCCCCAAGTTGCTAACAGGATCCCAGCACCCCTGCAGCTGCCTCAGGCCATATGGCAGGGACGGATCCCAGGGCCACAGCTGCTGAATCTCTCACTGGAAGATGAGCTGGGAGAACCCACAGTGGAGAGCGAGGGGCCATTGCCTGCTGACTGCGCCTTGGCTCCGGCCCTCCCGCTCCCTCAGCGGCTGTACTGATGGGAACTGACAGCCCTGCTGGCTGGCTGGGGCCTCCAGGGGACTCAGTGCCCCCCAGCCCCGCCTGCCGCCCACAGGAGCCCTGGTTGCTGCATTCCTGAAGCCCTCTCTTTCCATTGCTCCTGCCAGATGCCGACTTAAAGTCACAGCAACAGTCTTGCTTTTTAAAAATTATGAAATATTTCAAAGACACAGGGAGTGATAAGTCCTCCATGTACTTGCTGTGTAGATTTAACAAATGTTGACATTTTGCTACATTTGCTTTAGCTTTTTTTTTTTTTTAAGAAAGAAAGTGTTCACTTGGGACAGCATGGTGCTAGTAACGCCAAGGTCACGGGTTTGGATCCCCATACCAGCCAGCTGCCCACACAAAAAGAAATAAAATGTGACAGATCCAGCCCCACTCTATGTTTCATTCTGTCTCTGTCTGTCCAAGGCAAACACACCGCCTGCTCCCCATCCCCCTGCGGTCAAGTTTGAATTTCTCAGTTTCCTCAATGCTGTGGCCGCCCCCTTTCTCTTCTTGGAGCCTCCTGGAATCTGATGGCCAGGGGAGGTCCGATGGGTTAGCTAGAGCTGCGCAGAAATCAGGCATTTCCTCCCCTGGGGCCTTTATTCTGCAGAAAGCACGGGGAGCAGCCTTGTGAGCGGCTTTCATGTCCGTAAAATAGGTCAGAGATGCTTGGAGAGAAAGATGAAATGCACTAGGGGAGTTGAGAGGCTCTGCAGCGTGCAGAAGGTCAGGGCACTTGGTTTATTCACAAGGTGGGCCACCTGTATCTGGAGGTGACTCGCATTTTACAGATGGAAAAGCAAAGACTGAACGTGCAAAGGAGGTACACAGGGAGGTGGGCTACAGGGCTGGCCAGGTGAGCAGGGCTTTGGCGGGACATCCCCCAGGCTGGACTACACCTCGCAGGCCTCTCCCTTGGGCCACCGCGCCCCACCCCACCGGCTCCCCCTAGTACTGCCACTCAAATTCCAGCCGCAGGGATCCCAAGCACGCGTGGTCCAGCCCAGACACAGTCCAGCCCCTCCACGAGGGCACAGATGTGCGGTCTGAGGCCAGGTCCACTCACCATCCTCTTCCTCAGGCCCTGCTTGGGGCTGGTCCTTCTCACTGTCTGAGTCCCGCTCCACCTCCTGCAAGACAAAGACAGGGGTCAGCGCCCGCATGCAGAGAGAGGGGGACAGCTGACTCCGGTGCACTTTCATTTGGGTGTTTGAACACTCAGGAGAAGCAAACTGACCCTGGGCCACTCTCAGGAGAGATGTGAGCTGGAGGGTAAGGACTGGAGTGGTGGCCCCGGGGGAATGGGGGAGGGGTGGGTGGGCAGAAGGCAGGGGAGAGAGAGGAAGGGGCCTTGGAGGTCCAGTCTGGCCACACCTAGCAGCAGCGCCTGTCCTGCAGCCATGGTCAGTCAGCAGGGGGAGGCTGCGATGGCGGCGAGCGCTGGGCCAAGGTGACAGAGGGAGGCTCCTTTACATGTGCGCCTTGATCCCTAACCTTGACCTTTCCCAGGAGGGTGCTTATCAAAGCACCTGGATGCTACGTTGATAAGTGGACCCAGGACTCCCACCCCTGGCTGTGGTGGGTAAACAAAGGCAGAGGAGAAAAACTGGCCAGGTTGTCTGGGACCAGGGCCGGGCATGACAGCTGAGCTGTGTTTATGATCACGGGCTCCTTTGCTTCCTCTGATGTAGTTTTCTATCCCTAACTATCTGAATGTCCATTTTCCCAAAACTGAAGCCCCACCTCTGCAGCTCCAGTTCTCTCCCACGCACAGACACAATAAACAGATGGCCAGAGGAGTGTCCTGGGGTGGCCTTGGTGGAATGGAGGAGTGACTTCAGCTTGCAGGAATGTCGAGGATGAGGGATGTGCTGCGGGGCTCCAGCTGTGTGGGACTGCAGCTGTGGGGAGGGGACATGGGGCCCGTGGAACTGTGGCTCGGGAGTCTGGTGGGCAAATGTGGAACAGCCTCAGGTTTGAGAGAGGGGTGTGCAAACACGAATGAGGTGCTCAGCAGTGGAGAACGCAGTGCAGCCCACAAATTCAAATGCTGGGCTTTGGAGCATTTGCAGCCTCAGGGGGAGGCACCCCACCAAGACAGAGCGAGCTGAGCCATGCCCCATAGCAGGAGTCAGAAGAGGCAAATCCTTATGCTGGCTGGTTAGCTCACTTGGTAGAGGGTGGTGCCAGTAACACCAAGGTCCAGTGTTTGGATCCTGGTACCACCCAGTCGAAAAAAAAAAAAAGTGACTTTCTTGACTGCACAAAATGCCTCTGGAAGGGGCAGGGTGTGAGCCCAGGGGCTCCTCCCCTCTTTGCAGTCTGTACACAGATGCTCAGCACTGGCTAAATGGAAATAGGTCAGGATGTGGGGCTTGGACGTCTGACGCCTCCCAAAGTTTGGACGGCAAAGCATCACTGTGGCTGAGTGGTGCAGGCAGGCCTCTCCAGGGGGCAGGACAAGGAGACATCCCTGTGGACACAGCAATCTCACTTCTGGGGTTCTGCTCTAGACTGGAAAAATGACTCGCAGGGTTTTGGTACAATGATTCAGATTGTGTCCAGTAGAAAACAAGACAAAGCTGGAAACAACTCAGTGTTTATCCGCAGAGTTAACTAAATATATTTGGTTAACATGTTCACCAAAATATTAACTGGTGAAATATTTTACAGTGCACGTATGCCACGCCAACACCAGGCAGCAAAAAGGAGGCATCGATACGTACTGCGGTGAAGAGTGCAAGAGAATCGTGAATGGAAAAAAGCAAGAAGAGCACAATGTGAGGTGTAAGGGTTGAAAGGGGAGTGCACGTATGCGCTCACAGTGCAGAGAAAACGTTTTCTCTCAGTTTTCTCACTTGACAGAGTGTGGTTGCTGGTATCACCAAGGTCACGGGTTCGGATCCCTGCACCGGCCAGCCGCCAAAACAAAGGAGAACAAAAAGTTTTCTCACACAGGAAAGTGTTAGCAGCGACCACCTTTGGAGAGATGGGCTTGGGAGGGAGGGCGCCTTTCCTTTTCATCTTATACCTTTCAGTGTAATTTGAATTTTCTCCACAAGGAGAGTCACCAGCGGAGACAAAGAAAAGAAGAGGATGTCTCTCTCCACAAAGCCCATTTCAGAGTGACAGAAGAAGCATCTGCTCTACGATAATATTGGGGGACCTGATCACACCTCTCAGCATTGGACAGATCATCTAGGCAACAAATCCACAGAGTAACCATTACTCTTTCAGAAGGAGAGAAGTCTAGGGTAATTAGAGGTGGGATGGGGGTGGGAGAGGGGGATAGGGAGAGATTGGACAAGGGGCATAAAGAATAAGTACAATTTGTCACAATATATATGCTAGAAGTATTGATTTGATCAATATATGTCAATGTTGAACCCCCAAAATATATATAATCAATTTTGATTCAATAAAAATTAAAGAAAATAATAAAATTTTGGATTTCCTAG